TTGCAAAGGAACATCATGTAATAGTGTTGATAAATCAAAAAATTAAGGAACTGACCACCATTTAAATTATTTTCGTAGAGATAAGCCCCAATTAGTTTATTTCCGAGAAGTCCATACCAACTGAGAGAAGTCCATACTGTAAACCACCTGAGGATGACAAGAGTACGAAATTTTTGGATTTTCCTGTGCTCACGTTCGAAAATTCCAACGGTGTAGTATGCCATTAGAAGTGAACGTGGGTTCATCAATCCATAGAATGTATGGACGCACGTTTTCTTTAGCCTCCCAAATCGACATTTGTGCAAGGAACGATAGACGTCTATCATAATCAGAGTCAAAAGTCCCCGGATAAGATCAGAGCGTTACGGCTTAAAACTGTAAGCCCCGAATACATCTCTAATTTTATATATTGAACCCTTTCCACATTTTGGAGAGAGGAATTCGGATTTTCACAAACATACAGTAAAATATTCAGCTCCTTGTCGAAATTACTCTGCCAGTTTCTTGGTGGTGGAACAGCAACTGATCCATATCTCCTCCTACAGCGAGCAACAAGAATTAAACTGGCGATCAGGAAATTTCTGGGAGTACAACTCGACTTCTCGACGCGCAATACCACGACTATCAATAAAACAGTCGTACATATCAACTCGCTGTTGATCGGAAAAATGTACTCTTCGGTTCATTTTGAATAGAATACTGAATGTAACGAATAGGTGCTATTGTGTAAATGTATTTACCACCAGGAATTGAGATTTGCTCTCATAGTGCGAGTTTAACAAATATTGACAGAATGTAAACACTAAAGGCAATTAATTTTTACTTTAGGGAAGAAGCTAGCTATTGAAAAACAACAAAACTAAGCAAATGCGTTTTGTAAAACCTTTTACGATAAATTTGTTATTTGACCAATTTAAAAACCGATTGCACCATTGTTTTCAGCGTAGAAAATCTTTTGAAATTATGACTAAATGTATAGGGTCATATTTCAAATTTTAAAATTTAACTAGGCACCCTGTATAATTTTTCTCCAAAAAAGGTAAAAATTTGAATCTAGACAAAACACGTAAACAATTAAACACGTATTTTTTTAAAGCGTCATTGGTTCACGAGATATGCAGCCGGGTCTTTTAAAAAGGACACCCTAGGTAGAAGATGACCTTTTTCAGTAGGATGGCGTACGAAGTTAGAATAGTCGTTGAGTGATGCGTTCGACATGGAAGGTTTGAGATTTTGTGGTATTAATTATTTTTTAACCATTTTTCAAACGAATACGAGCATCTGACGCTTCGATGAGCTATAACGTGGTAGGAGTTGGAGGATTGAATGGCACTGTTTGAATAGGAAAAGATAGATAAAAGATAGAGCAGTAGAAAATATATGGAGAATAGCAATGGACAGAAGACGTTCCCCTGAGGGACGCCCGCCTATCCCTTATACGGAGACTACAGCGCAAACCCAGACTCGATCAGCCTGTTCGAGACCGAGGAAGCAGCATTTCTTCTTCTCATAGGAGGACGCAATGATGATGTGCGCAAGACGAAACCGATTAACAAAGGAATGGAAACGCCTAAATCCAAATCGATTGTCGTGGGTTATATTAAGGGGTTAAGAAGTCATACCTAATATCATATTGTGCGGATTTTACTTTTGCCGATTCATCAAATTCGAACTAGCACCCAGGATGCAATTCGCATTAAAATAGCTGAGAAACGGTGTATAATCCAGGGTAATGACTGAAAAAGAAATCCCTTGCGCTTTTTTGAAATCTTCTTTGAGAGAGTATTAAATCGCATTCAATGCGTGTTTCAGTCTTAATTTCATCCTTAAAATTTTCCTCTTCAGAGTGAAACGTACTTCGTGTCTATGCAGATGTGATCATCATTTGGAATTACAGGAATAAAAAATTACTAATCATTGGGAAATTATTGATTCATTGACCAATTATTGATATTTAATAGAATCCTTGTTGAAACAACCTCTTTTATTGTTCCACATTCATTATTTCTTGCTAAGTCTTTTTCTTGAATATTTAACAGTTAACCCGTTCCAGTGGCTTAAACTGGAAGCGTACATGATGACTTTTTCATCTGCAAAATAACTTGGTGTTTGGTAATTGTTCCGACCTAAGTTTAATTAATTTCTTCTCATTACACCTGCAAAGGCAAAGTACATATTTCCAAATAAACTTCAACCAACAGGAGCACATAGGGTTTCATTTGCAATACAATACTTTTCCCAGGCTGGGACAATGTCATGCATCTTACATTCTTCATGGTAAAATCACTTCGCTTGCTTACCTTTATTGAAAAACCACGCTTCACGATATTCCGCTGACAGGCTGGTCTAATTTCAAAACGTAGCACCAACAGAACATCAAGTAACTCAATGTAAAACAAACGTTTTAATAACAATTCTTTGCTTTGTTTCATTAAGTCTTATCTGGAGTTTAATTTATGTGGAAATAAAAATAAAAATGTTTTTCTACCCTTTTAAGGTTTGAAAAATTATAATTTCGAAGACACAACTTATATGTTTTTGTGTTATTTTATATTATCTTTACTGTTTAAGGCTTTATCTAAATCATATCTTTCTACCCACCAGGACTTTATAGAAATACGATTTTAACGTAATTGAACTATTTCGCAGAAATGGGCCTGTAACGGATTTAGTGAGTCAAAACGTCGGGATTTCTAAAGTAATATGCTAGCGCAAGACGGGGTTTTGAATCACGTGGAAAGTAAAAACTCCCAATGTAAATTTTTATTTAAAAAAAGAAAAATTAAATGGTTTTGAAGTTATATTTACAAATCGGGACGTTCATTGAGTCCACGGCGCTGAAATCTACCATTTGTAAAGACCGGGATGTGTTGCGGGTAGGGTAGATCTTCAGCGCCGTGAAATCCCTTACCTTTATTTAATAGAATATTAAACCCTTAATTAACCAATAGCGATAAGTTCTGATTTTTGTGATAATCACTTTTCTGTTTGCAAAAAATTGTAAAATCTTGTTATCTTGGTATGTCAGCACAATTAATTTAGATAAAATATAACAAAGGTCTGTCCGCTTAACTAAAGTTTATTTAATTAGTTCAAATTAATAATTACGATACCTGAGGCTATTCCTCGGAATAGTCACCCTTTCCGAAACGACGGGCTTTTACTTTATATGTCGAATGTTTACCCTACGAAAAACCTGGGCCATTGATCGAAATAAATTGTAATCCAAAGAAACGAGGTTGGTGTTGTGCGGTAGGCGAGGGATAAATTCTGATTCACGCCATTAATTTTTAAGCCGGTTTGACCGGGATCGTGACATACTGCGGGAGAATATTTTTGCCGTTTACAAAACCAGTTTTGGCTAGAGCGTGTGGCTTCCTTTTTCTCGAGTTTAATGCAGTCATTTTCAATAGGTCATTTGGCGATAGGATTTGAAATTCCACAGTTTTACCGTATGATGCATATGTTTTAGGCCTGGAATAAGAAAAAGTTCATTTGGACAAAAAAACTTATTTGAAAATATCTTCAAAAGTATTGACCTTCATGTTGAAGTATTGACACAAAGTAAATGTTGAAAAAAAATTAATTTTCTGTAAAACGAAAACGATTTTTTTTAATATGCACAGACCTTTGTCATTACGAGGTAATCAGTAGAATTCAATATTAAAATTGGATTTTATTACCTATAGTTTTCTTATTGATGTTTTGAAGAAGAATGATTAGGTCAAATAAAAAATGCCACACAAAAAAATGATTTGGACTGTTGGTGCTATGATTCAGAAATTGATACATACTCAAAATTGCGCATGATATGACTCAAATTGTTCTCTGTTATTTTAAAATCCCTATTTTTCAAAACGAATTTTTGTTATAAAAAATTATCAATTGATCTCTGCACGTATCAACTGCATTTCACTGTTGAAACCAACTTTTTTTCTCAAATCCAACTCCAAATTTTATTTTGTCATTAAAGAAAACTTTTTTTGCCCGTCGACTGTGATATTTTAGTTTAATAAAATAAATTGAAACTCCAAACTAAGATCAAATATATATTAGAAAAGAAAAAGAGAATATACAACCGCAACGCACAACAAAGATCTTTTTACCATTTTCTAATAATATATAATTGTCCTTTATAAAATATAATGGATTTCTTGCAGGACGAAAAGAATCAAATTGTAACCACGAACGCGTGGTTGAACTTGGTAAGTGATGGAAGGTGCCCGTTTTCCTCAGTTGGGAAAAATGTCTCTATCTAGATGTGGCACTTTAATAGTTTTCCCTGTAAAGTTGTTGTGTGTGTTTTTTCCACGATATTACTAAGCATTCCTCTCAACCAACTTAAGAGACATTTTACCCTTAGAGGCTATTTATAATAGTCACCCCGGCTTACCTCTGCAATGTTCTGCCAACTATATGTGGAATATATTTTTCCTGCCTGAATGAACCTAATCTGTAATAAAATGAAGCTATAAACAACCTTTAGAGTGATTTTAAATTCAACTTTCACCACGTAACGCACATTGATAATGCATTCGTTCATGAATTCACTAAAAACACTTAAACACTAAAACTAATCCTCATGATAAATATAATAAATGGCTATCATGTCAATGCACATTGTTTTTATTTTATTTTTTTTAAAGTTTAGAAAACCATTTTATCAAAAATAATATACACTCTTAAAAATGTATAAACACCTAGCTGTCATGCAATATTTTCTATCTTGCTCTTTCTCATTTCTTGCTCTCCCTAAACCGTTTGCTGATCTTGAAAAATAAAATATCGCTCCAGCAGTCTTAACGGACGGTAACAGTTTAGAGTTGAACAAGAAGCGTGCACAACTTATTTTTAATGGGTAGGGTTCTCCAGGCGGTCATGTATTGTTAGGATTTATACAGTATTAGTGACAGAACATTGCTAGAGCGATAGCGAGAGTTGGTGTAACTTTGTTCGTTGTGTTTTCTAACAACGCCTTGTTTCTGATTGCATGGGATTAGGATGAGAAGAATCAGCTTCTAATTACAAACATTTGGTTAAAACTGGTAAGTCAAGATAAACTGTTTTTAAATCCCTACCAGGTTTACACAGAATGGCTGCTGAAATAAGAAGAATGTTATTAATTGAAGCTTACTTTTGATTTAAAATAATCATATTTTTAGTAACTGGTAGTTTTGTAAATAGTAAGACTGTAAAAATACGCCTGCATAACGTTCACATCCCAAATGAACGATTCACTTACAGAACAGAATATTAACAATTTTCCTATAGACTTTTATCCAAAGCAGGACATACCTATAAACATCTCTTCACCTTCAGACAGCTTTTTACTTAATAAATTTATTTATAAAATATTTGTCGATCAATTTAAAAAGTTACAATTTTTTTTCAACAACAGATATTAAAAGTCGTATAATTCACATACAGATAAAAAATTTGATAAGAAGAAAATACGTCAATTCAGTTGATCAATACACTTTGATTAAACACATTTAACATAGACTTTCTCACAACCCTCTCAGATTTTCATTTGGGATGTGGACCTTTTAACAATATTGATTTAACAACAGAGAAAACAAATTAAAGTAGGAAAACTCATAGTAGTGTACAGTGACTACCCTTTCAAATTAAATATAGAAAACAAATACCCTTGACTTAAAAAAATACAATGTAACCTCTGATAACATTAATCAACACTGCCAACACACCCGAACAATCAATACTTGTAATTTCTATATCACAATGCGGCCTTTTGTTTAAACCAGCCATAAATATTTTATTACTTAATACGTATTTAATACTATTTGATATATGTATATGTATATATATATGTATATATGTGTATATATATGTATATATATAAATATATATATTACAAATATATACATAATATATGTATATATTTTTTCATTTCATTTCTATATGTTTTGACACGCCTGTAGCAGTGTAATGCATGAATCATTCGCCCTAAGAAGTGCTTTGCTAATTTTCTCATATTATATATCTCAAGTTACGAGTATTCTATCATAATGTACCATTGTAGTTGATGAATTATACAAAAAAAATATTACTAGAACAATGCCACATAACTTACAACTCTCCACTAGCCTATTTCTTATGTGTGTTTGTTCGAGTGGGTTTTGTGTTTGTTTCTTGTGTAAATGTGCCTGACGAAAAGAGAAGGAGAGAGAAAGAGATAGAACAAATATAGAGAGAAAGAGAAACTCTAAATGACAAGGTGGCAAAAATAAATTTGAGCAAGAGGGCGTGTATATGGTTTTTTGTTTGACAGATGGAGAGAGAAAAAGTGTGTGTATCTGTTAGTAACAGAAAGCTAGAATTGGAAAGTGTTTTCATAAAGCATTGAATGAAAGAAAAATTTTGGAAAGAGAAAGGTTGAAGGTAGGGTGAGCGAGAAAACTATACAGATGGATAGAGAGAGATTGCTTGTATTTGTGTGTCAGTCCCATGTTTGGATGTATGTTATTTAAAGCCAACACATTTTATACAACTACTAACCAAAAACGAATTTAAGCCACAAGGTTACAAAATAATTTGAGGGCGAATAATACTTTAACATAGTTCTATTTGTTTTAACCTAATTATATTATAATAAAAATAATATAAAACAATTTCTAAAAAAAGCAAATTAAAACTGAACCTAAATAAATACCTAAATAAATCAATAAAGTTCTTCTATAAAATAATATCCTTATATCAAGTTGATCTTCTTAGTATGTTGTGCATGGATTTTCCCATTTTGTAGATGATCAATATATTTCATCATAGTATTTTTTCTGTAATATTGTATTAGAACTGTTATATTTTCCATATACCATAGAATGTAAATTTTAATGTAAATTGTTTGTGAAGCATGAACTTCTATTTAAAGTTTATTTCAACCAATGATAGCTGTTGCATTGGAAATTATTGTTTTCAAAATTTATTTTAGTCCTAATGTAATATTGTTGTAGAGCTTATGCTAGATTACATTATATATATTTGATAATTGTAATAATTTGAATATATAGTTATTATTGCGTAAATAAATAATGTAATTTGTAGATAATTTCAATAATATTGTTCGTCTTTACACATATGCACTTATATTTTATAACTGCATATATGTATAGTACAAGTAATCATTTTTTAAATTAAAATAAGTTAGCTGAATGCAAATGTGAACATTTAAATATGGTTAAATTTTAATCTCATGATGCAGGCTGTGGTGGTTATTGGCAGTATTTCATTCAACATCGTTTGCTGTTAAATGTTATTATTAATAATAAATCAGTCTAAAATATATAGGTCGTTTAAAAAAACATGTTTTTCTGCAAGAACTAGTCGGATGCCATACACACTCGGGCACCATGGTCCCAAAAGACGAGTAATTCCTGTCATACGATAGGACATAGCGTCCAAATATCTATTGGGTGTTACGAACAAAGGGTCAAACCTCTTAATAATACCTTTGTTATATTATTCTCAAATAAAATTTAAAGGGCTATTCCAGGATTCCAACCTACAACCCATACCGACATGAGTAGCACGCTCTTATGCTTCGGCCACCTTGGGCCCAAAAGTAAAGTAAGTCCTGTCATAAAAGTGGGTTAAACGTCTCAATACCCATTGGGTGTTACGAACAAATGGTCAAACCAGTTAATAATAGCTTTTTTATATTATTCCCCCTGAAAAATTAGAGGGCTATTCCAGGATTCCAACCTAGACCCAATTTTTTTTTAAACAATGCATACCAGGAACTGGAAGAGTTCCCCCTGAGCACTGCAGCTGTTCAGCTTATTGTACCTTATCCTTGGCTCCATTTTTGGGGGCTCGGACCACGAGTGTGAATTTGAGCCCCCGGTGTGTCGGTGTTCTTCCATCGAGGAAAGTCATGTTTGAAGTGAGTCGGGACCAAATTCAGGGTCACTGAGATCTGATCCCGCCCCTTCCATTGATGAGTGCCGTTTCAATTTCTTTCAATTGCGGCCACCGGTCCCCTCAGGCGTCAGAAAAAAGTCCAGGGGCGATGGTGGGGATCGAACCCACGACCGCGGATCTACTAGCCGAGAGTGTGACGCCTTAACCACTCGGCTACCCTCCCCCCCCCAACACCATACCGTCATGAGTAGTACGCCCTTATGCTTCGGCCACCGTGGGCCCAAAAGTAAAGTAAGTCCTGTTATAAAAGTGGATTAAACGTCCCAATACCCATGAGTGTTACGAGCCAAGGATCAAGGGTTTTAGCGGGATTCGAACTACAGTCTGACCACTTAACGACTGAACTACTGCAGTCCCAAAAGTAAAGTAATTTTTGGCACTCAGGAGGGTTAAATGTCGAAATAACCGTTTGGGGTTAGCGAAATTAGGGTAAAAACACTTAACATTTTTCATTATTTTTTTATTCTAAAAAATTCCAATGGCTGTGAAGGAGTTTGAACTTTCAACTCCTACCGTGTAAAATACCAGTAGGAAGACCATTCCACTAGGCTGCGGTGGTCCCAAAAGTAAAGCAATTCCAATCATCCAGCGAGACTTAATCTCCAAAATCCATTTGCGTTTCGAGGACGAGAGTTCGAAACCACTTTACAACACTTTTTTCATATCATTCTCAGCACACAAAAAATAATGTGCTTTGAAGGGATTCGAACCTCGATCCGCTACTGTGGCTAACATGACTGGGACAACCTTACTCCTCGTCTGCCTTGGTCCAAAAGTGAAATAATTAAGCAATAAGTAAGGAAAGGTTCCTAGCGTCCAACTATCCTTTTGGGTGACGAGAACAAGGGTGGAAACCACTTTTCATTTCTTATATCATTCTAAAAAAATCCGAGGGTTTTACCCGGATCTGAACCTAGAAAAAAAATCTACCGTGGCAAATGCGAGTAGGACATCATAAAGACTCGACCACCGTCGTTCTAAAAGTAAAGTAATCCCGATCATGCAAAATGATTAAACGTCCAAATACCCATTTGATAATGGGACGAAGTTTTAGATCCAACTCTTTTCATCTTATGATCAATTAAAATTCCAAGCCCTACACTGGGATTCGAACCCAGAGCCGCTAGCTTGGTACACTGTTAAGATTGGCCACCGTAGTCCCTTTTTATTGACCTAACATATTATTCCGTGTTTTATTCCAATTACTGAATGTGTGGCCAAAACGTAAGAACAAACAAAACTTAATTTTGCACCTGACTGTTCAACCATGTGCAATTCTTGTCGGATTCAGAAACCTAATTTTTTTTTTCATGGGTAAAATGAAAAATATTTCTAATTTCAATTACAATGGACTGAATGGAATTATAAATTTTATTTCACGCTGAATTTGTTTTTAAATAGGTGGGAAATAAGTTCAAACGAGATGAGATACAGCCAAATATCCACAATTTATTATTTGGATGTTACATTTGGTTCCAAAGTAATTTTGACCTCGAAACGCAACTTTAAAATTCAATGAACAGTAAATATTTCGTCTAAATTTGTTGGTTAAATGGATTGACACGTAGAATTTATCAATTTTAAAAATTTAAAAAGTTGCAATTCTTTCAAATTACTAGGAACCATTTTGTCACGAGAAAGTGTTTAACGAAGTTTAAATCACAGCTTACTTTTGTTATTATTTTGAAATATGATGAGATATTAAGTTTTGTGCGAGGGGTGATACTTTTTAATAAACATTTTCTCGTGACTTTGCTTCTAAAAAAATAAATTCGCCTAAGCTTAATATAGATCAATTAATTTTGATAATCTTTGAGAAAACGTATGAAAATAGCCTTTGTATTTGATTATTATTTATAGAATGGTCCAGGGAGGCGGCAGGTGGAGTGACAATTGACTGTTTAATTATATTACAAAGCGAGAGTTTTATGATAAATGCTCAATGAACCGACAATTAACCGTGGAGGGGTTGGTATAACCACGGGTCAATTTTTTCTTACATGGGTAAGAATATTAAGAGAAAAACAGTGTCGTAAAAAATAGCGATTTAGCTTTTTTCTCAAATAAGAAGTTAAAAAAACTTGAGACGGGAAAATGTCAGGGGATATCAAGGCTTATAAATACTTAGTAAGCGCGCTACGTGCAAATGGGCAAATGCAGCAAATGCTTTCAGATGGGCAGAGTCATCTGAATAACGTTTTTCACTCGGGCGATTTTTCCAAGATTCCACCACCTACGAGGCAAGCCTGCGTGGAAAATGTTTTGAAAAAATTAAGGAAAACGACAACCCTTTAAACATACAAAGTTTGTATTTTTTAATATTTCACCTTCCTCAATTAGGAGGATTTCGATGTATACTTACTTTTTCCAAGGAATTTCACTATATTTGACCTAATTTTCCGATTTCGAAAAACAGATTTCATACAATTTTGACAAAAAATATAGTCACTTAATTTTAAACCTAGGTCAGAGGAAATAAGAGTGAATAAAAAAAATAATACAATAACAAGGGTGAAAAATTTATTGTAAACAATTATATTCAGCTTATTAAACCCTTTCGAATTACTTGAAACGCGACTTTACAAATGATGTTTAAGTCCAGAAAAAAGTCATTAAAAAGTAATCAAAAGTATCCTGACAGTAGAATAAAGTCGCACAGGAGATGTCCGATCGACACCAGCTTCATTAAAAACCTTTATAACTTGACTTTTAAAAAAACGCATTTTCTATGTTTTATTTTCTATTAAAAACAAAGATTAAAGCATTCAAATAGTTTGATTAATTATAAAACTGGTCTTTTTTTTTAAATAAGTTTAATTGACACTAAGTTAATTTTGTTTTTTTTTAGGCTCAGTCTCATCGGTCCAAGTATTTAATATTGCTGACTGAATATTTTTGGCAATTTAAAAGCAACTTAATCACGACAGAAGACCATAGTTCTCTCTCTTCCTAAAGATTTGACTAAATTATATTCAATTTTTAAAGTTAATCCATAAATTATTACTATGGGCTTTAATCGTTGATCCGAAAGAAAGTTAGTGATAAGCAGGATCAATTAGTAGCAATTGTTTTTCCAATCTAAACATTTATTAAATATTTTTACAAATGAAGTAAAACTATTTATTCATAAAACGAAACTTGACGCATAAGACTGCAAGCTTTAGATGAGTTTAATTTTTTTTAAATATATGTTCAAATCTTGAGTCTGGTTATTTATGTGGACTGGCAATTTAACATCACTTAGGATGTTTGAAACACTAGTATTTTATGTTAAAATGTTTAAAACAACTTAATAATTTTTTATTTCAAGAAGAATCTATCTGTATAGTTTTTTTAGAAATTGGCCAGCAAAGGAAAAAATTCGAGTTTGACCAGAAAGTCGTTTCCTCCGAAAAGTAATTGGTCAACTTCGGTACGGTTTTCTCCCAAACGCTTTATCATATTGAAATAATTCATTTTTCATGGTTTAGAGTAATAATAGGTAAATATATATAAATACTTTTCTATAACAAACAGAAATGCAGTTTTATCACAATTTGAGGAAAAATTAACGATGCGATATTTTCAAAAACCCTTATCTAAAAGTTTTAAGCATGCTAAGGAGAATAAAACAAAAGGAATTCGTTTATAATTAAGTAGATTTTTAAAAATTCGTACCGAAAAACGGCAATTTTTCGGCAAATGTCTATTCAACTAAAATGACCTTGAGAATTGATGAAATACTGTAAGATTATAAAGTTTTAATTTTTATAAAATTTAGTGCAGTTGCTAAAAAAATAAATAGTTATCAAATTATAAAATGTTTTAAGTGGAAACTTACGTAAATCAAAAAATATTAGCGAAAATTAAAATCTATAAGATTCTTGTTTAAAATATATTGACCAATCGAACAAATCGTTATTCGTGTCAGACAAATGAGGAAAATTAAAAGCCCCACGTCCTTTAGCACTGACCAGTTTTTAGGCGGTATGTGCAGGGTAGATTATAATCAAGCTCTCAGGAAGATCTCTCTAGCTCTTAGATAGCCTGGAAGCCAATGTTGTTTACACCAAGTTTATAATGTTAGAAGTTTATAACGAGCTGCCGTATATTGAAGGGCCGAGGCGTCTAGTTGATTCATGAGGTCTTCACCACCCGCCGCCTCCAGACCCTTCGCACCTACAGCGCCTTCCCCCGTCCTTCCAGTTAAATCCCGATACGCCTTACCTTTTTCCTGAATAATAACGACATTGCACATTGACCATATTAGCAATGAACGGCGCATTGGTCTGTTATACACTTAGTGGACATTATTACAGGAATGGAATGATGTTAATCTACGGTGGAACGCCAGCGAATTCGGCGGAGTTAAGGACTTGCGGATTCCACCGCATAGGATATGGAAGCCAGACGTTCTCATGTACAACAGGTAAGATTGTTTTCATTTATTTTAATCAAATGCACATTTCTATGTACAAGATTTCAGGCGATGCTTACATCAAATGCACCCTAGCGTTGTATAAAAATAAACAATAGGTTAATACACTTTCATATATTTTTTGTGCAGAATATCCTAAAAGATATTTTACAAATTTAAAATGTGTTAACAATAAGGATTTTACATATGAAAAGAAATATTAACAATCGATAAATCGGGATTGAAAACATTATTTTTTTTAATTATCAACAAATTTGTTCTTTATCGGACTTCACACTAGGGATTGACGGGTTATTCGTAGTCGGATAATTTCATCTTTCTATCGAGTACCCAGGCGGACTCGCTTTCTTTTCAAACCTCCAAGAATCAACTGAGACCCATATTTCATTTCCCATTCAGACAGGATGGCCCATTTCCACCAGAAAGGTCTAGGTTTTTCAGACGTGCAACATGTCTGGTACATTTTTCCTCGATTTTCCCAATGCGAATAGGAAGCATGGTCGACAGCATTGAATACCCGACGGCCTGTGAGTTACTAACTAATTAATGTGAGTGATGGGATCGAATCATCATTTACATTTGCCTTTCGGGAGAGGTTTTATTTTCGCCCCTGCTCTTGGTTTGTTTTACAACCCAAACATACAGATAAAACATTGAAACAGATTATATTTTAAAATAATGGGAAGCAGAAATAATATAATTTGCCTGGATTGGTTCTATTGTATCTTACTTCTCTAATCGCACACAAAAGAATAAAACTTTCACTAAGCTCTAAAAATCTTTTGCAGGATTGAAGGAAACAGCTTTTGGGCCAATTTTTTTACAATATGTCAACTTACTAGTAGCACCCCTGATTTTATCAAAAAGTACCCAAACAAGAAAATAAACTGAACATTTTTTTTTAAACTTAATGGAAAAAATGCAGTTTTCTTGAATCAAAGGACGTTGAAAAGTCTTTCGATTTAAATGGCCGTGTGATTCATTGATGGATACAGGTTTCCCTGAAATAAGATTTATTGAAACGTACGTAATCGCACAGAAAAGACTAAAATAAAAAAGAGACACGGTTTTCACATTAGTAAATTGATAAATATTTTCCAAGAGGTAGGTTTAATACGAAATAAGACTTATTAAAACGTACGTCATCGCACGGAAAAGGGTAAAATCGAATTTTCACTAAGCTCAGACCGTTTTGTAAACGAAGAAAACAGTTATTGGGTCACTGTTGTTTTAAATGATTATTTGGAGTTCGTGAGATGCGGTCTGGTGTGACGTAGGTTTTAGAAAAACATTTTCTTTATCGTACCAACGTTTCGATCTTTATTGAGATCATCTTCAGGGCTCAAAGCGTTTGTTTTCGCGTACCAGACCGCATCTCACGATCTCCAAATAATTATTAACTAACGGTCACTGAACACATTGTTGTAAATGTACAAAGGTTTAATTTAGTAGAGTCACTTTTCATGTGTCCTATAAAATCTAATCCGAAAAAAATACTTTTGTTAGGCTAATGGTAAATATGGATATGGAAAAAATTCAGCTGTCTTGTATCTGGACATCGAAAAGGTTTTTGATTTAAAACACCACGGCCTTCGGATTAATAAAATTATGAATATTAATGTTTTTAGGTCTGGATTAAATTCATCGTATCTTACTTTAGTGATCGCACAGAAAGAGCTAAAATAAAACACTCACTATCTCATAAGGTCTTGCAAATAGGGGAGTTCCTACTAATTTTGTTTTTAATATACAGGGTGTCCATTTATCGTGTCTCTCCTGGTGTTTTTAAAAACACCTACTCAACCTAAATAGAAAACAAAATAAAATAGATTTTGTTTTCACGCAAGGAAAAAATTTTAAAGTAGTAAACGTGTAGTTGGCTTGCATCTGGTCATTAAAAAATATTTTTGATTGTATAGACCGTGCCATTGAGCTTTATTTTTTTTTATAAAAGTATATTTAGAAAAAAAATATTACATTTTGTTTACAAAATAACAAAATAATACTAGTAATGGCATAATCTAGTCGTCTGCCAGTTGACCCTTACATATTTACATTCAAATAAAACTTACAAATTATAAACTTAACATAAAATTATCTCTGCAATTCAGCGCATCTATAATATATCTATACAAACTAAACCAATCTTTCCTATTTAAAAGTTCTATATACTCACGACATCTGTGGAACCAGATTAACCTAACGTTCTCCAAATTTGGACAAACTGCCAAAAAATGAAACAAACCTTCCACCGTTTTTAGTTTACATATATAGCATGCTTGGTCTCTTTCCTCCAGCCAAGGCTTAAAATTTAAATATAATTCACTAATTTCGTGGTCCGCTTGACCAATTAAATCATTACAATTAATTAAGGTTTTTAGTTGAGATGAAAAAAAAGGAGGGAAAAGTCATAAGGTGGGGTTGAGATGGCGAGTTGATGTCCGAGTGGATCGAGGTCACGATAGCTCAGGTGGTAGAGCAGCGGCGTATCTTAGCCGAAGGTCGTGAGTTCGAATCCCGCTCGTGCCATTGACTTTTTTCATCTCAATTAAAAACCTTAATTAATTTTAAATATAATAATTGACCTCTCGCGCGAAAAACAACCTTGATCTAATTCCAATTGTATTCCTTATACAAGTAATTCTTGTCTCCGAGATCGAAGTTCTATTTCTTGTATATTAAATGGTATGTAGAACATTGCACTTTTCTTAAACATTCTTCTTTATGATGAGTTTCTACTGCCTGCAATAATTGTACTGCCCAAATTTTGAAATCTTTCGCATCTGTAAAATTTATACGAGAACTACAGTTCAGTCCGGAAGACCAATTCTTTAAACCAAAAATTTTTCTTTATTATCTCCTGAGAAAGGAGGTAGGGCAAACGATCTTGTTTCAGACCCAAAACCCGCTGTATATAATTTAAATGACTCATCAACGTATACACAAACAAAGGTCTAAAGCCTAATTCCAAATAAAGAGAATAACTTGGTGTATAATAGGGAGCGCCAAACAATTGCTTAATAATAAAACAAAGTTTTTCTACCACTTCATACTGATGGTAGCCCCATATTTGTGACGCATAACATATCACAGCCCTAGAGACGGAATTAAAAACTTTAAATTTACTTTTTAGAGGAACATCTCCTCTATTGAGAATACCGTTCCAGGTTATATTCAATCCTTGTTTAGCAACCCTAAGTTTATTGGTCAAATGCATATTGAATTAAAGTAGAGGAGTCAACGTTACACCTAAATATTTGTACTCTTTTACTACCTCTATTATTTCATTTTCTAAAAACCATCGTTCATTCTTTGATGATCTACCGACATTTCTAAACACCATAATCTTAGTTTTATTCAAATTTACTGACAAATTACACATTCGGTAGTATTCTCCCAACCTGTTTAACATCTTTTGAAGTTGAACCGGTTCAGTGCTTATCAAAACGACATCATCTGCATACATTAAACAGTTTACATTTGTTGCTCCGACAAACAGACCACCACCCAAAAACTCGGGTAAATCGTTAATAAACAGCGAGAACAGAAGAGGGGAAAGCAGACAGCCCTGCCTTACACCCTACGAACGCCGACTTAAAATCAACAAAGCAGCAGTAAACTTTTCTACGTTTTACAGATAATTTTAATTTTATAATGTTATTGAAACTAAAAATATTATCCACAGCGGAGTATTTTTTCCGAAATCCTGCCTGGCTCTCTACCAAGATATTATTTAAATTAAACCATTCTTTTATGCTTTATTAAATTAATATAATAGATAAGAATAATGTACACAACTGAGCTTTGATAAATAACGTCCACAGAAACAAAAAAATTATCAATATAAAATTAAAATACAATATGCGTTTTTTTAATGGAATTTATATGAAAAGCGAAGCACAGGCGCCGGGAAAATGCATCTCATCATCAAATACCAATACAGTCAAAAACCTCATTGTGTGTCCATTAGCCTGAAAGAAAGGAAGCTAGGTTTAATTAAAATATCGGGAAAGGGGAGGATAAAAAAAGAATTTATAGCTAGCGCAATGAATTGTTAAAATTCACCTCCAATATGAGGCGGCACAAATAGATTCCGCCCCACCATTTTTTTCCTTTCTGTTAAATAAAAAATTAAAATTAAAACCACAAATCGCTAGTTGTTCAAATAAAACACGTCAGGGGGCGTGTAATTAAATTAGTTCACTGATTTATCAGTATGATGTTCTCTTTATCAGTCGAGGCCGTGCTTAAATGATTTCTCTCCTTTTGAAATTAATTAACTCATAACATGTAAGCATCATTCATGCCAGTTAACCATTAAAGGGATTCAGAGATATTACAGGTATTATTTTAAATTAAAATCTAATAATAAACTCTTTTGGGGCGTCTGTGACCGCATCGGTTAAGACGTTGATACGGGGTTTATCTCAGTAAGGTAAAGATCCCGGGTTCGAATCCAGCGGCACTGCATTCAAACCCGACATAATTACAAATGGGCTTTTTTTTCAAAAAATACTGAGTGTTCATATAACCTAGTAGTTGAAATACCTACGTTAAATAATAATAATTATAAATAATTAAGGTTTTTAGTTGAGACAAAAAGTCAATGGCACGAGCGGGATTCGAACCCACGATCATCGGCTTTATACGCCGCTGCTCTACCACTTGAGCTATCGTGACCTCGATCCACTCCGGTTACCACCACTAATTTCCCACCTCAACCCCACCTTTTGAATTTTCCCTCCTTTTTGACATTTTTATCTCAACTAAAAACCTTAATTAATTGTAATATATTAATTGGTCAAGCGGACCACGAAATTAGTAAATTTAATGATTTAAAATGAAGCATACTTCTCTAAAGCTCTCCGTGGCCATTTCATTTGTCGCCGAGAATCCAATCCGATTACACGACATTTGAAAAATGGCAAAAAGGAGGGAAAATTCAAAAGGTGCGGTTGAGATGGGAAGTTGGTGTCCGAGTGGATCGAGGT